CACTAAGTAGAAAGCTGATACAGAGTTTGGAGGAATAGCTAGCAAAAGAGTAGCCACTGATTGTAGGGATCAGAGAACTGTCCTTTTAAAAACAAAAACTATGACACTTTGAGTTCACTCTGAAAATCAAGCACTCAGAATAGAATTTAAATATTTCTGAAAAGTTCTTTTCCAAGAAATATTTTTCCATTTAATGCAATCAATCAGATCTGTCATGCTGTATGGAATCATAAGATAATAATTAAGGAGAATTCTAATACAAATGTGACTCAGAATAAACATCATAAGGCTTGAAGGTCCAAAGAAACAATTTATGTGTTCCTCGGCAAAAGCTTGCACCTTTATATAACTCCTCAAGCACAAGGAAACTGGCTGAATCTGCACCAAAACTTAAATTTGTTATTTTCATTGTCGAGCCTGTTATTTCACTTACTGAAATCTATTAAAATACATTGTCGTATAGCTAATTTTGGTGAATAAGTTGCCTATAAAAATATCAGATTTCAGAATTGTTTAAAGTGCTGTCTTATCTAGTGTGAAGAGGTTGGTCTTTCAGATACTTATTTGAAAACAGGTTTCGAAGTGTTCATTCTCTCTGTTGCCTAGATGGGGTTAGATACTTCCTGTCCATGATCTCATGATACGTTGGTTCGGAAGAAGCCTTTCTTTGCAGAGGGATGGAGCATGATGTTAGGATTGGAGGAGGGAAGCATACAAAATAATTTATAAATTGGACTCTTTTTTTCATGTTAGCAGTCTTTATCACTTTATCTCATACATTTACATATATGTATAGTAAATGAGTAGACAAAAATATACAGAAAAGGGATACATTTAAGGTGGAAGTTATCAATCTAAAACACCCAAGACAATGATAGAGATTAGTACTGAGACATAATTTTTTCATGATTTGTAATACTTGCCTCTTGATTTTAGGTGTAAATTTAGGCATACCATATATTCAGTTTATAGATGAATCTGGTTTAGTCAGTTCTTTGATTCAGTGGTCATTGATATAAGTAAATCAAAATGAAAGAACAGTTTCTCCAATTCTTATTTTTTTATTGGTAGGTCTTAACCAAAAATTTCCAACCTTCTCTTGTTTATTGGTTGACATTAACTAATAGGTACATGGAATTTAAATAAAAGACGGGATCTACTTCTTAAACTGCCACTCACGTAAGACTGTGTACTAGAAGCCACTGAATACATGGGGCATACTGGAATGCAATCTTAAAGATTTAAAGGGGAAGTTAAGTTTATTTTAAAACAAACTCAGGTAGACTGCAAAATTCACATTGTTAGGATAAATCTCATAAGATTTAGTGTTACAGGCTGCTTTGTCTACCTGCTGTCCTCCCCCTGCTCCACATACCCCCTCTGTCATCAGGGTAAGTCAGTAGAAAACTTTTAGAACATCATGATTATTAGTAAGAATATATTCATTTAAATTTAATATTTTAATGGGAATTAGAATCAGAAGTTTATAGAAATGGCCTGAGACCCTCAATTGTAGAAATTCACTTTTGAAAATTCAGATTTCATATAAAATATATCAAGCCCCAAAGGAAGTTGGTCAAGTTCTGTATTTCAAAAGAGGATATTTAAGCCCTTGAGAAATAAGACCTCAAATAGGCCAAAGAAGGTGAGTATTTTTGACTCTAGAGTTTCTGATTTTCCAGTGACCCTGGGAAGGTAGGTTTTAGTTCATTTAGGCTGAGCTGCACAGTGGTAGCAGCAACAACTGTCTATTGAGTGCGTTACTTGGGCCAGCTATTGTGTACATTGCTTTACGTCGTGGAGGAATGCTTTGTCCCTTTCTACATATGATGAAACCAAGACTCGGAATAAATTAATTACCTGGGACCTCAAACTCAGATGGCTTCCAAATCAGCCTTCAATCCCAGGTCTTTCTGATTTCTGCAGTTTATAGTCTGCTGCTCCAGGATAGCCGACCAATTTGGTGTGGTGAGAGGATTTTTATCTTCTTAGTCTTTTTCATCTACAGATCTGTAAAGAGTGAACTAAAGGGCCTAAATTTCAATCTTTTGGCCTAAAAACATAATACAACCTAGAATATTGAAAGCAAGCTCAAAGTAAGGTTTCTATATTCCTTAAACTTAACTTTGAAAAGGAGAGAGAAAGAATTATGTGTTGGAAATTTGAATGTGGTTCTGGTTTTCAAACAGAGAAGATGGTGACCTGAGAACTAGTGATGGTGCTGGTGTGATGTTCCAGAGCAAGATTTATTAAAGACAAGGACATAGCAGTCACTGGGATCCTTCATGGATTAACTAACAAGCCAGATTTGCTTCTTAAACAGGCTCACTGGACAGACTGTTAGATCCATGAAATCCAGAGCTGTAGCAAGTTACCTTGAGTATGACACCTTGCAGGGTCATTTCTCAATATTGTACAGTACAAGATAAATAAAATTTAGGTTTTAGAATACGTAATTGAATCAATAACTGGTTGAATAACTGCATCCAACAGTTGATTGATGTCTAGCTGAAGATATATTTCTGGCGGTGTTTGACATAACTCAGACCTCCATGTTGCAATAATTTTTATCAGATGTCTATATAAAGGTCCTGATTATCCAAATTTTCACAGGAGGAAGAGAAAATGCATTATGTAAAGAATCTATAGCCAGAATAAGAATATAAGATCATCTTATAAGTCTTCAATAGGCAGCAATGTGGGAAACTGTTTCCAGGTTTAAAAACTGAAAAACACAAGTACTAATTGAGAGGAATGTGATTTGAGGGTTTAAGCTTATTCCATTTTATTATTAGATATTATTACTCTTAAACATAGGAAACAGTCACGTGAACCAAACTAAATGTATAGATTATCTTCCCTTTTCCTTATCAGTAATTTTGTAGAACATTAAAGCCTTTGCCAGTATTTATGTAAAACTCATTCAGAGTGATAGACCTCAAAGTTAAATTACACTTAGAGTACTTTTAATCAGATTGTATCAGGTGCACATTACAAATTATAAAATACAGTTAAACACACCAGTCTTATTTTGTGATGTTTTTGCCTAACTTTGACCTAATAATTCTGTCTCCTAACTTGTTTTCATAATTGTCCTTTTATAGGAATTTTTTTGAATTTTTTTAACTTAAACAATTATTTGGCTTTAATTGTTAGATCCTTAAACCTTTTTACAGAGAGCATGTAAGGATAAAATGAATACTTATCACCTTTTTTTGTGGAAATGTTTTATCCCACTAAAATGTAGACTCAAGTGACCTTGAGGACCTTATCAGTCTTTATTGCCATTTCCCTATAACCTAGGACAGGATCTGGCACATAGTAATTGCTTAATAAATGCTTGTTAAAGGAAATAATATCTCATGATTTTGACTAAGTTTATCTGCCAGATATTGACTCCATATATTTTAAATTGCTGTGAGTCCCATGATTATTAGTGAGTGGTTTGATGTTAGGCAAAAGTGAACAACTACTCAGTAGGCCCAATGAACATGAAAAGAAGGTAACTAAAGCTTGAAATGTACTTTATAATCTAAATGGTAGGTTAACTATTCTAACTTATCTAGTAACAGAATGTAAGACGGATCTATTTACTAATCGAGTATAAAATATTGGCAGTAATTACTAATTATATGACCATGAATAAAGAGACTTGGGGGCATTATCATGTGAGGTGTATAGAAGTCAGACTAGCAGAGCCCTGAATCAGGAGTCACAGTACTCAAGTTCAAATCCTGCTTCTAAGTTTAGTTGTCTGAACTTCAAAAAGTAACATTAACCACTCTAAGTCTCGGCTTCATCATTTTAAAATGGACATACGAATAGTAATTAATTCATAAGGTCATTGTGAGGACTAAAAGAGATAGTCTATATAAAGACATTAGCACAGCACCTGGTACGTTGTAAATAATAAAAGCAAGCTATTATTGATGTAAATAAGGACTATTTCACCATGGTATAGCATACATGATTATTATCATGTCCTTTATGCAAAGATGAATTATCTTCTCAGAGATGAGAAGAACAATCCCAAGCCACAGGCAAAACGTTGGAAACCAGCACTAGGACCCAAGTCCTCGGACTTCAAATCCTATTTGCAGTCCAGCTGTGCATCATGATGAAAAGATTCCTAGACTAATGTTGAAATACTAGATTCCTAGACTAATGTAGGCTGAATGGCCTTTCAGGAATAAGAAGCAGACAAATGAATAAAATAAAGGAGAATGCAGATCAGAAAAAAAAAAACCCTGGCCCCATTGCATTTACACAAATAGGGAATATCAAGTATTGTATCTGCTGTTGAAGAGAGGAAAGAACTTTATTTTGCAAATATTTTTATAATTTTGTTTAGGAGTCAAAATTATTTTTATCTATTGTATTAGTGCATTTTCACACTGCTGATAAAAACATACCTGAGACTGGGAAGAAAAAGAGGTTTAATGGACTTACAATTTTACATGGCTGGGGAGGCCTAACAATCATGGCGGAAGGCAAGGAGCAAGTCACATCTTACATGGATGGCCGCAGTCAAAGAGAGAAAGAGCTTGTGCAGGGAAACTCCCTTTTTAAAACCATCAGATCTCATGAGACTTATTCACTATCACAAGAACAGCACGGGAAAGACCCCCGCCCACCATGATTCAGTTATCTCCCATGCGGTCCATCCCACAACATGTATGAATAATGGGAGCTACAAGATGAGATTTTGGTGGGGACACAGAGACACACCATATCTTTTATTTTAAGTATGTTTTTTCTTTATTTTAAAAAATTGTTGTATAATGATTGTATGATTTTGGGGGTCCATTAGTGATGTTTTGATATATGTAATGCACAGTGATATTTAATACTTTAATTTTAAAAGGGAGAGCGTTTCCCCCTGTATGTAAATTTCTCTGGGTAAGCATAAGATTTGAACAAAATTTAAGTATTTAGTATAATTTATCACAATTATGGTTTTCTGAAATGTGTACTATCATGTTTGATTTTTTTTTCCATAGAATGCTGAAATTTCTGTCTTTGAAGTAAATATACGCTTTGTTGGTGGACTACTCTCAGCCTACTATCTGTCTGGAGAAGAGGTAAGATGAAAAGTGGTATATAAATGTGAATTATAAAGTGTCTTAAACTACGTTTTTGGTAAAATATGCCATTTGTGACATATATTTAGAAGGAATCTATGGAATTTTTATATTTCAATGAAGCTGTAGCTTACACTGAGTTTCTTATAATATGTACTAATTAAATGAGCAAGCTGGGAAAGTTTGGCAGAACATATTGTCAGCAAATGTTAACGCCTTTAAAAACTGGCTCTATTGTGTTATGTATGGTGTGATTATAGCTACAAATTATATGTGCCTATGGACAAATTAAAGAAGTTTAGTGTAGTGGCAGGCTTGTGGATGAATTTTTTTCTTTAAGAATTATTTTAATGTTAATACAAATAAAAACTTTTTTAAATGAATAAAGCCTGGCAAGTAAGATATAAAAATTATAGTTTTTATGTAATTGAGGGGGTGAGACACTTAGCTACCAAGTAAACAGTCCTAAAGGCCAGCATCCCTGTATCAAGTGCTTTGGAGCTCTTCCTGAGTCAAGGCTTCATTAATTATCCACTGCTTGGAGCAAGGCAGGAATTTTAAATTTAACTGCCTTTTATTGATAGATTAAGAAAGGATTTTTGTATCCTCTTAAAGGCCTGTGATGCTATTTTCTTGAAAGGTTTTGGACAACTTTATGAATATCGTAGGTATCCACTAAGGGTTGTTGAAATGGGCCTCATCTTTAATGTTGACAGTGTTAAATGCTGACATTATGGAAAAACTGTCACATACTTCAGTTGCACGTCAATCAGATTTGAGTTAGCCTCAGCATTCCAACTGGGGAAAGAGTAGATCTTACCCAATGCAGTATTTCATGTATTGCTATGCTCCTTCAAACAGATTTAAGCAGAGCAATAAATGTTTAATGAGAAAAGCTGCTTGACTTTGTTTGTGTCTCTCAAGCACTTTCTTAACCACAACGTACAACCCTCACAATCTTACATTTCCTCTCTGTTTAGATTTTATTCTATCTTCGATCTTTCCAAAGTAAATAGATGACTTCTGTATTCCTCTGTATCTCTCCTGTTTTAGTGTTAAATGTTGTTCATTGTGGACTCTGTTACCTTCTCAGCCAGGGTAATGTGATCCCCTGGTACATTATGCCTCTTCCTCCCTTTTTTCGATTTTTCCACTACCAAATAACTTCATTTGTTCAGTTCAGTTTAGGGTATACTAAGGATTAAGCCCAAACCAAAATACCCCAGAACACTGTATTTTTAAAAAGTTATGTTTAAAATTAACTAATGTTATTTTAGTTAACAGGTTTCTGCTTTTAGAATACTTGTCCTTGAGTATCCAATGCCAGGATGTTCTCATTGCTTTGGATATGATATACTAAGATGACCTTGGTTTTAACTTCTTCCATGATTTTTGTGGAGGTGAGACAATTTGGAGGAAATAAGGATTGCATCCTTTTGTGTCTGGGCTCAATTAGGATAATAGAGCATACAAAGAAAAACACATACGTATTTATTCTAAATATACATCATATTTGATTAGGATACTTTTTCACTCAGTGTTTTAAATTTACATATATATGTGTTTCTATATATGTGTATACTTGATGTGTATAGATATATAATTATAATACCCACATATTATAGTTTGCCTATAGATAAAATAATTTGCCTAAGACTTTGTAAGGATATTTTTTAATTCTGTACACTGAACTTTAGTAAACAAATGGCTACAAAGAACACTTCCATTGCAAATAACTATTCTTTCAGTCTGCTTTGTCCTCATCACTATACAAACATGTTTTTATTACAAGTAGATTTTTTGTATTTTTATTTTTATGATAAAAATTTAAGATTTTCTTCTTTCATTTTTGTATCTGTAGAGTGCTTTAGTTATAGGGACCCATATTCTTAGCATGTTTTTTCTTATAGTTTCTAAACGTTGGACAATTAGATTATTTTCAGTATCTTTTTATTTTGAATAATATTGCTATAATCAATAAATATTTATTCTCTGAAGTGGTGTTGGCAGGTGAGAAGTGATTAATACTGGATTGTTTTAACATCATCACTTACCTATTTCTCCCAATTACTTAGTCCCTGACAATTGATTTTCATTTGATGAATGCATTCAGGGGAATTGGCCATTAGGAATGTGATCCAGAAAATTTATTTTACCCCAGGTCTGTTCTTGAGCTATTTGTATTCATATCAAAATGTTTTTAAATGAGCATTCATGTAATAGAACACCAACATAGCAAATTATGAATAAGTTGGTTTTAAATAGTTGATAAAGTTTTATACGACACACTTTTTATGTAGATCAGACAATTTACTAAGGTGTCTAGGACAATTCATCTTTCTGTGTATCTCGTAGGAGGACTTTTAAACCACCATAATTTGACATTCTGATTTCATCACTGAGGCTCAGGAGTATTTTAAGAACAAATCACCATCAGAAGTAGATAGACCCCACATTGATATCAGCTCAAGATTCTTAAATTTATATTGCAAAAGCAGGAGAAGAAGTACCACTGATTTGTGACACCTGTTTCAGGAAAGTTACAGTTAGAAACACTGAACAATAGTTAAGAATCCCAGCAGAAGTCTAAGCTATCGAAAAACTAATAGAAACATGAAGTACCTCTAGTAAACTTTGATTACAGGCGCATATTCAAAAATTTGAAACCTCCTAGCTCAGTTAAAATATTTTGTAGCACCATAAAAAAGTCAATCCTCAGTATTTTCAAATGTTATGTAAGAAACTCAACCACGAGAATTACAAACAGATAGGATGGAGGTAAGATGAATATTAAATAGGAAGGATCAGTATTAAAAATAAATTTAAAAGGTAGCACTGCTCTATTATAAGCTGGAAGGGAACTAAAATTCTCACTGGAGATGGTAAATACAGCAGGATCTAGAATATGATTACCCAAAATATGTTCTAAAGACCACTAGTTTCTTTTGATATGGCAGGATAAATCTGTATCTGTGTAGATACTAAAAATATGTTTGGGAAGAGCTACATTCTGTATTCTTTCTTGGAAATTTAGAATGCACAAAAAAAGCGAATTAACTTTTATTTATCCTTGCATTTTCCACACTTACTTAACAATAGCCTTCCTTTATTTAAAAAAAAAATGAAGTGACATCTGCTAACAGTAAATTATAATTATTTTTCAGAATAATTTTTGGAAATGCTACTGTAGAATAAGAGTAAAGCAAAGATGATATTGACATTGACAAGTGCAAAAACATGTAAAATATGACATTGCAAGAGAAGGTGACACATGTAGAAAAGAACTTATGTGAATATACCACGTAACATTGTTTTACAACGGAAACCAATAGCTATATTGAGCAGAAAGCGAATGTAATAGGACATAGAGATGTTACAGAATCAGAGAGAGGGCTGAAGAGCAACTTGGAACAAAAAGTGTCAAGTTGGCATAGGGGATCTCTATAGCTGTATTATCACCCTGGGACACCCTGCAATTAGTAACATGACTGTTTCTTCCACCCTCTGTTAGTCTACTCAAGACACAAAGTCCCTGGAGAAAGAAACTAATTGTGAGAGTTTCAGTTACATTCAGCCTCTTTGGGGATCTTGGAGAATGAAAAGGGATATGATAGAAGTCTTCTGCAAAGTTCACGGGATTCATATCCCGTGAAGACTGAGTAATATAAGGAAGTATAGATAATTCCTGAACAGGAAATTGAGGCCCTGTGAGAAGGGTAGGGAGGTAGGACGGGTAGGAGCCAACAATAAGATTTCACCCACTGTGGTGAATATAAATATGGCAGAGGAAATAGACAAGCCACATGGAAACTGACAAGTTAATAAGATATCTGAAAAAATGTAATCTGATTTGCAAAACTGTTTTGTAAGCTAAGAGACGACATTTAGAATAGACCAGAGTATTTAATCCTCAAAGAAAACATTCTGCCAGTACAACTTAAGTGTGTAAAATAGAAAAACAATAGCCAGCTCCTGGAAGCCAAAATGATTAAGAACTAGCTTTCAAAGAAAAAAGGTGAGGAAGATACCATATCCAAGAATGGTAAAAGAGACAGAGTGGATTTTTACAGTAGATGAGTTTACTATGATAACCTTTCATTTTGAAGGCAGCAAAAGGATTTTTCTTCAGATTCCCCCTAAAAGTTATCCACTGCTGCAAACACCAGTACAAAATATTGCTGAGAGAGATTTACTCAATAAGTATAATACTGCCAAATTTTAAGACTAACAAAGAGGAAACACGGAGGGGAGTAGGATTGTGGAGTAGAGAGGAGAGAGATAAGACTGAGAATGTTTACTGGTGGGAAGATGTATTTGCTTTTTCATAATAGGGTTAAGATATTTGGAGTATTTGGGAGTTAGAAATCGATTTTTTAGAGTTTGTTTTATGGATAATCATAAAAATGTTCAGAAATTCTCTGGAAAATTAGGATATATGGGCCGGGCGTGTTGGCTCACACCTGTAATCCCAGCACTTTGGGAGGCCGAGGCGGGTGGATCACAAGATCGGGAGATGGAGACCATCCTGGCTAACACAGAGCAACCCCGTCTCTACTAAAAATACAAAAAATTAGCCAGGTGTAGTGGCACGCGCCTGTAGTCCCAGCTACTCAGGAGGCTGAGGCAGGAGAATGGCGTAAACCCGGGAGGCGGAGCTTGCAGTGAGCCGATATTGCGCCACTGCACTCCAGCCTGGGGACAGAGCGAGACTCTATCTCAAAAAAAAAAGAGAAAAGAAAATTAGGATATATGATTGGTTACCTTTCAAACTCAATGTCTGCCACAATTCATTAGAAAGTGAGTAATCTCCCACACTATCTCTCTGTTTCCTGCCTCATTCTGCAAAAAAATCAGAGTGCCGGAAAATAGGTATGATTCAATCAGAGCTGTGGAAAAACAGAGAATAAAGTTAGGGCGTATTAAAGTTTCAGGTAAGGTTAGCACATAGCAGTGCATTTTGCCAGTTTGTAAATCATCTGGGCTTTGTACGGAAAGGTATC